CATAGCCATTACGCCAACTGCTGGTCCCAATATGTCATTTTTTTTTTTTTTAATCCAAGGTAACAAAGAATCTAAAAACCTCATCCATAATATCAAACTATGCGTAATGTTAGTGTGTAGAAAATTATAAATCGAATGAGGTTGCTATTGTAAATTTTTTGTTTATGTAGATCAATATACTAAAAGTCATTTGTTCAGGAAAATTTGGTTTAGGACTTAGTTTTTAGATTCTTTGTTACATATGGGTAGGAAAGAAAGTTAAGGGAGACGTTTATTAGGCATTTCATTTAGCGAAGTGGTGTGTACACTAAAAACTATGACATGACAGGAGATTTTTGTATATTTACTAAATCTATTTTACAGTAAAAGTTTCCTTTTGGAGGTTTGTCTTCACAGTTTGCTTTAGGGCATGTGCACTTACCAGAGATGGGGAGAGACAGAGAGAGAAACCGAGACTGCCCCCCCCATACACCTGTGTCGGCAGGACAGGCGGACAACTGTGCTGCCGTCCCTTCGCCTCCACGCTCCTCCGGAGGCTTCACCCGGTGTGTCTTCAAGCCTCAGGGGCCAGGACTGCAACTGCGCAGTCAGCCATGTGGGATCTGGCTGTCTTCTCCAGCTCGCTGCTGGCTGGTCCAGACAAGGCTTTTTTTTTTTTTTAGAAGTTTTTTTTTTTTTTTTTTTTTTAGTTGGGGCGTGCCTCGAAGAGGTTTTTGCTATAGGGCACATGCGTTAGACAAAGAGACAGAGAGATAGAGAGAAAGAAGGCGAGAAATCACCCCCCCAGGGGGATGGCCACGCCGCAATCCCTTCTCCTCCATTCTCCTCGCAGGATCTTGGGCACGCACGTACACATGCCCGGTGTGAGTTTAAGCCACCAGGTCTGGGACTCGAACCATGGTAGGCTACATGGGAGTCCAGCAACATAGCCATTACACTAACTGCTGGTTAATATACTTAATTTTTGCCCTTTTTGAGTTATGAAGACTTATTTTAGCTTCTTACTAAGGCTGTTTCTAGGACACATGAGCGATTTTTAGCTCGTTGGAGGAGTGTGATGCTCTTGTCCGAGAACTCCAGCCCTGAGTGTGAACAGTGTGATGCTGAAAGGCACCACGTGGCTGACCATGGTTCGAGTCCTGGGTCCAGGGCCTGAAGAGCATGCCAGGTGCATGCGTTCCCAAAATCCCAGGAGGAGAAGGGATTGTGGAGTGGCCATCCCCCCCCCGGGGGGGGTTGATTTCTCAATTTCCCTCTGTCAACAGAAAATAACCCACTCTGTAAAAATCATAACTAAAGCGGTTTATTTCTAAGGAGAATGAGTGACCTAGGCCGGAGAGGAGGCAAAACATACCTTTCTCTCAGGGTGATTTAGAGAGGCAGTTTGGAATTTAGTGAAGTTTGCCGTGGGTCTGGCCCCCAAAGGTGGGACGTCCTGCAGCAGGGACTGGCAGGTTACAGGTGCGTTTTACAGCGTTTGGGTGGCGATCTGCAAAGGAAGGGCGCTGAGATCAGAAAGGAGTGCACTTTAACAGCGATGAGGACGCTCGTTCACAGCCCAGAGAGACTCCAGTACCACGCCAGGCGGGACGAAGGGAGAGGCCCGTTACCCATGGGCCAGTATCTGGGGGTGGAACTCCCTCTGGCCCTCTGAAAAGGACCTTGGAAAAATAGGAAAAACAGTCAGGCTTCTGGCCACAGCTGTCTCTCCAGTGAGTGCATGTGCCCTAGGGCGAAAACCTTTTTTTATTTAATAAAAAGAAAGAGGTACTGTGGATTTCTCTGCTGCTTTTCAAGAAAAGTTGCCCCCAGCTGCAGACTACCTTTCCTCCTGAGCTGCCTTTCCCACCGAGGGGTGCTCCCACCGAGGGGGATGTTCCCACTGAGGGCTGCTCCCACTGAGGGGGAAGTTCCCACTGAGGGCTGCTCCCACCGAAGCAGCAGCTCCTGCACCAGTTCCTTGCAGCCCCTCGGAGTGGCGGACCTGAGGTGGGAGACGCTCATGGGATCGCTGGCCCTGCCTAGGGAGTCCACCCTGGAGGCCAGAGTGCTGCGGCTGCTCCTCCTTGCTGAGGTGAGGGTGGGGTCCCACTAGCAGGGAGGAGGCCAGACCTGAGCAGCAGGCTGCAGGCCAGGCCAGGCTCCCGTGGTGCTGTGGTTTCCGCCCTGTGCCCGCCCCTTCCTGGCTGCCTTGGGCCGCTCAGCCACACCCCACCTCCTCTCCTGGGGGAGGGCCAAGGGTCACCTGGACAGGCATGCAGTGAGGGTGTCCGAGCCGCACACAGTGAGGTCCCTCAGGCGACCCTGGCCTGCTGGCGCCCTCCCCCACTGCAGCAGGAGCCAGAGGCGGGCCTTGGAGTTTTCCTGTCACCAACATCTGTCTGTCTGGTTCCCGCTGTTGTTGAGTGTACTAGCGTGGTTGCTGGGGCGACACCGGAACTGGTTCTCCTGCACACCCCAGGCTGCCCCGGGGGCTGCTCTTCCAAGCCCTGCAGAGTGGGGCAAGGCCAGGCCAGGCTCATCTTCCTTGGCCTCTTTCAGCAGCACTGGGGGGGCGCTCTGGCCCAGTGGTGGTGCCCAAGGGCCCAGCCCCACCTGGAGAACAGGTTTGAGTCCTGCCCGGTCAGCCCGAGGGCCGGGCCGGCAGGCTGGGTGGGGAAGGGCTTTGCAGTCCACTGGACCCTGCAGAGGGGCTCGCTTACCCTACATGTGTGGAAAAGAGGGGCTGGCAGGGTGCACAGTGGTGCAGGAGGCTGGGCTCCCACACGACCCACTGCAGTTCGAGTCCCAGGCCTGGAGATTTGCTTTCTCACTTTCCCGCTCTCTCTGTCTCATTCTCACTCTGTCCCTCTGGAATCAGATTAAAAATAAATACATTTAAATAAAATAATTATTTTAAAAATAAAAGGAAAAGAGAAAAGAAAATTCGAGTTTATTACATTAAAAGGTTTATTCTAGTATTCATTTCTTCCTTATGTGAGTAAGTGGTGATTAGTGACTGAAGTAGGGATTTGAAAATGGGTATCCTGGAGCCAGCAGGCGGCACGGTGGTAAAGGTGCTGGAGTCCCACATGGCCAACTGTGGTTCAAGTCCCGGACCCAGCAACTTGAAACTCACACTGGGCACATGCGTGTGTGCGTTCCCAAAATTCTAGGAGAGAGGCGAAGAAGGGATTGTGGTGTGGCCCTCCTCCCTGGGGAGCGATTTTTCACTTGCTCTCACACTCTGCCTCTCCCGTGAGGCAGGTGCCCTATCGCAGAAACCGAAGTCTGCTAGTAGTGGATTTTGTCAGTTTTTTCTGTCGTGAGTTTTTGGTAGATTCTTGCTGTAGGATGTGAGCTCTCTTCATAGACGGAGGCAGGCAGCGAGCGGGAAATCACTCCCCCAACCACCCCAGTCCCTCCTCCTCCCGTCTTTCTTGGGATTCTGTGCATATACACGTATGTGCCTGGCTGAGTTTTAAGCCGCTGGGTCCAGGACTCAAACCGCGGTGGAGTACCTGGGAGTCCAGTGTTGTAACCATTCCGTCATCTGCTGGCCCCTGTCATGACTTCTATCACACAGATGGCCTGTATCTTAGAGCAGTCTGGATTTCTAGGCGGATGGCTCAGGTCATGCGGAGTGACTCCCTGCCCTTCGCATGATCCACGTGAGGAGCGGCCGGTGTGCCCGTGGAGTGCGTTCTGTGTGTAGCATCCCCATGACCGGGCGTCCACGTGAGGAGTGGCCGGTGTGCTCCGTGTAGCATGTTCTGTGTGTTTGGCTGAGCACGCGGTCCTGTACCAGGCGTCACAGTGCCGTGCGGCGTGGTGGCCCTGCCCCAGGGACTGTCTCCGGCCCCTCCGGCGGGCCCCTGTGCCTCCTGCCTAGTCGCCCTCGCCGATTTCGTGGCTCTCGGGTTCCAAGTGCGTGTCCTTTTCAGACCTGGCTTCTTTCACTCAGCGTCCACCTCCCGTCCTGCCGTATCTCTCGGGGCTTGCCTGCTCATTGTCCCTGCACGTCTGTGTGCGCTTTCCAACAAGCTGAGCCCAGGTCTGCTGAGGGCAGAGATGGCGCCATGGACCAGAGGGCCGCAGCCAGGTAAGCAGGCAGCCCTGGCCCTGGTCCCTTCATCCTGTTTGAGACTCCTCGTCCATCTAAAGGCAGTTTCCTTCCTTCCTCTGATTCCTTCGCTCTCGTTTCTTGCAGGTCTGAGCCGCGGGGAGTGGTTTTGTCCCAGTGCAGATGGCAACATCACCCTCCCGGGGTGTCTGCTCCAGGCCGGTCTCTGGTCCTCTGGTCTGAGCTGTGGGGAGTGGTTTTGCCCCTGGTCCGCAGGTCTGAGCTGCGGGGAGTGGTTTTGCCCCAGTGCAGATGGCCGCATCACCCTCCCGGGGGGTACACTCCAGGCCGGTCCCTGGTCCACTTCTGACTGAGCTTCTGCCCAGCAGCACAAGGGGTAGGACCAAGACTTCGCGGCCCGGTTGTCCCTCCAGCTCTTCCCACCCAGTGCTGCTCCGGGTAGCCTTGTGGGGCTGAGGGGTCCTGTCCTTCCTTTGACCGTCCTAGCCACGAGCTTGGTATCCAAAGGACACTTGGGCAGTCGGGATGATGGTGGGTCACAGGATGGGACCTGGTCAGGAGGGCGTCTCACAGCACCAGGTGGCGGTGCCAGGTCTGCCCTGCAGGCTGAGGAACACGCAGTCCGCATGGGCTCTCACAGCAGAGCGCCGAGGGCACGGGACAACCGCAGAGACATGTGCGCTCCCCAGACGGCGGCCGTGCAGAGCCACGCTGCCCCGCCCGTTGTCCTGGTGCAGTGGAGCAGAGCAGCAGCCCAAGGGCACCAGCAGGGCCAGCGGCTGGCCGTCACCCTGCCCAGCTTCTCACCCCGAAGGAAACTGCCGCAGACGCTCCCTGCTCTGGAACACACGTAAACGGAGCCTCGGTGTGTGCTCGCTCCTGTCTGTAGTCAGCAGTTTCTAAGCTATTCTAGTTATCCCCTTTTTCAATTAGCAATAATCGCGCCTCAGATAAACCTCATTGGCTACGATACTGCCACTGCGCAAAGCTAGTTATCCCCTTTTTAAGGTTCGAGGTATTTCCAGTAGAAATGGAATTCTTCCGAAAAATCAGAATTGTTCCCAACATTTCAGGGTGGCTGGAGCCGAGGAGGAGACTCTGACTGTCCTTGGAGACAGGCAGGGCTCAGCCTCGGTGGCCTCATCCTTCCTGTGATTTTTCCTGGCAGTGTGCTCGTTGGGCCCTGAGTTACGATGGTGTAGGTCAGGGTCAGCAGGCCACAGCCCCTGGCCTGTCCTGCGGCTTGGGACTAGATTCTGTAGGGCCACAAAGCAGTTATATTTATGTCCGTTTTTTTAAAAAAAATACTATTTTAAAATTTTACTAGAGAGAGAGAGAGAGAGAGAGGGCAAGGTGCCAGGTCCAGGACTTGAACCGTGGTTAGCTGTGTGGGAGTCCAGTGCCTTAACCACCACACCACTTGCCAGCCCCAGTTTTTATATTTTTAAATGGCTGGGGAAGAAAGCAAAAGAATGTCTGTGGCGGCCATGCCTGTCCATTTCCTTGGTGGCCATGGCTGAGTGGAGTGGCGAAGACCCTGTGGCCCGCAGCACTGGAGAGCTGCACTCTCTGGCCCTTCACGAAAGCCAGGTGCGGCCCAGTTTGGCTGACGAATGCCTGTGCACGTGGGGCAGCGAGGGGGGAAGCCGGGGAACTGCGACTTCCGGGGCCAGACAGAGACACACACACACTTCTTTCTCCTCTCCGGAGTCGCCGCTAACCGTGCTGTGACAGTGTATCGGAGGTCTGACAGATGTTTTAAGAAAGATGTTCCACCTTCTGAACCTTTGATGCTGTTTTTTTACAAATCTTTTAAAAGAATAATTTTTTTTTGAGAGGTTTTTGCTATAGGGGGCATGCACTCGCCAGACAGAGAGAGACAGAGAGACAAAGCGAGAAATCACCCCCCAGGGGGCAGGGCCATGCCGCAATCCCTTCTCCATTCTCCGCTTGGGATCATGAGCTTGCACGCACACGCACCCGGCATGAGTTTTTAAGCCACCGAGTCCAGGACTTGAACTGCGGTTGACTACGTGGGAGTCCAGCGATATAGTCATTATGCTAACTGCTGGTCCCAAAATAATAATTTAATTAGTTAATTGATTTGTATTTGACCAGAGAGGGGCAGAGACAGAAAGTGAGAAAGCAAGCCACCAAGTCTGAGACTTGAACCACGGTCGGCCATGTGAAGCCCAGTGCCATCAACCACCATGCCACGTGTTGGCCCCTAAAAATAATTTTTCCATGTGATTTGATTTTTTATTTGACTTGCTATAGGGAGAGTGTGAGAGCAAGCACTGGATCCCGGACTCGGGTCGTGTGAGTGCTGGCCCTATCTCTGGAGCAGACAGGCAGAGGCTGAGTGGGAGGGAGGGCAGTGGGTCAGAAGGCAGCCGTGTGGTGCTGTCTGTCACTGCTCCCGAGGAGCTCCGCAGCTAGGCCCTGGGGCCTTGGACTCCCAGTCAGCTGGCGGGGCGCTGCGCCCTCGGGGCTTGAGTGGCAGTGTCCGTTGTCCCGTTTCATTCAGCTCCTCGTTCCGTCATAATCGTACAGGGGACTTCACAAAGCTCGTGGGGGAGCTGGGGTTAAATACGAGTTAGGGCCCCCCACGGCAGAGGTTAGGTGCTGTGTAGAGGAAGCAGAACCCGGCGTGTGACCAGGGATTGATTCTTGGCCCACAGGCTTCATGCCAGGTGTGTGCATGCTCAGGACCCTGAAAGGGCAGGATGGGGGTTGGAGGAGGACGGCCTGCATGTGCTGGGCCCTGCTGGCGGTGCCTTCTCATGATTTCTGTCATGAGAGAGAGTAATTTAAAAAAGCAAGAGTTTACTTCGGTGTAAAAGTTTGAAACCTGTGCCTAACTGTGTTTGTGCCAGGGGGAGAGGGATGGAGGGAGAGCGGGCACCCCAGTGGGGAGCATGGTCACTCCACGACCTCTTCTCCTTTCTCCATGGTGGGATGGAGGCACACGTGCCCAGTACGGTTTCCAGCTACCTGGGGGATCCGAACTGAGCTTGCTTTCTGGAATCCAGCTTCCCTTGAGCTGGTCCTTAACGCCAGAGGGCACATGCACTTGCCAGAGACAGACGGAGAGGAGCCAGTACCTTCTAGTGGGGCAGCGTTGCTCTGCAGTCCCTTCTGCTCAATCTCTCCATCTTGTCGGAATTTGGACGCACATGCACACACACGTGCCCAGCATGATTTTCTTCCTTTTTTCCCTTCCTCCTTCCTTCCTTTTATTTATTTTTAAGAGATTTTTTAATAGGACACATGTACTTGCTGGACAGACAGAGACAGAGAGACAAAAAGCGAGAAATCACTCCCCAGAAGAATGGCCATGCCGCAATCCCTTCTCCATTCTCCTCTCGGGGTTTTGGACACGCGTGCATGTGCGCTCGGTGTGTTTCAAGCCTCTGGATCTGGCACCCAGACTGGTCAGCCTTGCGAAAATGTAGTGTCTTAGCCACTGCGCCATCTGCTGGCCCCGGACATGCAGCTAGCCCTGTGAGTCAGGCCCCTTACCGCTGGCTGTGGGGCCCGCCCCTACTGTACTCTGTGCTCGGGGCTTGGGGCTGCCCAGGCGCTGGTGACGGGCTTGTCCTCAGCGTGTGCCTGAGCAACGGCAGCCCCCAACTGGCATGGGCCCTGCACGTTGCCGTGTCAAACACTGATGTTTAGTGTGGTGACCTGGAAGGGCGTTGTGACTGCTGGCTGTGCTGTCCCTGGGTCTTCGGCAGGGACGACAGGAAGGGCCGTAGACGTGCCCGGTGTGTGCCGCCTCCTACCGCTGCCCCAGCTCAGCACCTGGTTGGGGAGCCGCTGTCTAGGGTTCTCGTGAGGTGGTTACTTTCAGGGATCATCGTAGAGAATGGATCTGCCAGTCTTCAGATTCTGCTGTCCTCTGCGCCGTTGAAGGCTGATGTGCACTGTCTTTGAAGCTGGCCCTGTTCTGCTTCGTAAAGTCCGACACCTCTCGCCTGGCCAGGTGGCTGACACTTCCTAACCCTCGTGAGATACCAGGATGAGACCAACATTTACAAACGCGAAGCCAGCACTGTGTGAAGGCCTGTGTGTGCTGGTCCGTGTTCTTCACATGTTCAGCTTAATTTAAGTGAAAACAACATTAGCACCATCAACAGCACATTAGAATCTAGGGACCAGCGGGTGGCGTGGTGGTTAAGGCACTGGACACTCCCACATGGCTGACCACGTTTCGAGTCCTGGACCTGGTGGCTTGCTTTTTCACTTTCCTCTCTCTCTCTCTTGTCAAATTAAGATGAAGGAATGAATGAATAAATAAATAAATCGTTTTTAAAAAACCCCAGCACATTTGACTCTGAAATATGGCTTTGTTCTGAGATTGCACCACAAAGATTTTGGGGTAGAATGTCAACAACGGTGATGGGAACTTTGTAATCTTAGAGTGACTGTTTCTAGCTCACAAAGATCATTAAATGATAAGCATAGAAACTTTATATTCGGAACTCGAAAATGAAGATTTGGGGGCCAGCAGATGGCATAGCGATTACGTGGCTGGACTCCCACGTGACAGACCGCAGTTCAAATCGCAGACCCAGTGGCTTGAAACTCATGCCGGGTGTGTGTGCACGCACGTGTGCCCAGGATCCCAGCAGGAGGGTGGAGAAGAGGGATGGCAGTGTGGACGTCCCCCCAGGCGATGGGCTGTTTCTCACTTTCCCTCTCACTGTTTCTGTGTCTCTCTGGCGAGTACATGCGCCTTAGGTAAAAACCTCTAAAAAGTTTCAAAAAAGAAAGAAAGAAAATGAGGATTTGTTTGTTTATTCCTCAGTTGAAAGATGAGATTTGAAACCAAATAATATGTGCTTATGCATTTGTATGCGATTTAGGATCATGGTGTCCATCCCTGTCATAACAGGATTATCCTCCTCCCTTCTCTGTATTTGCTACTTTAACTTCTGTCCTGCTCAACATAAGGGCACGCTTATGAATATGTATTAGTGAGAAACAAATTTTTGACTCAATCAACAAAATTGGTAACAGATTTTCTTTCATCATATTCGATATATTCCTCTTTACCATTTTCTTTGGTACCTTGAAGGAATCACTTATAAACGAACATCCTCGATGGGATCAGCATATGGCATAATGGTTAATCGCTGGACCCCCATGTAGCCGCCTGTAGTTTGAGTCCTGGACCCAGCAGTTTGAAACCCATGCTGGGCGTGTGTGCGTGCGTGCCCAAGATCCTGAGAGGAGAATGGAGGAGAAGGGATTGCAGCGTGGCCATCCCCCCGGGGGGTGATTCTGCGCTCTCTGTCTCTGTCTCTCTGGCAAGCACATGTGTCCTATAGCAAAAACCTCTCTTAAATAAATAAACGAACGCCTTCGGAAGTGCGGAGTGCCTTGAGCACTCTCGCAGGTGGGTCCACATTCACGGCCGTGTGCACAAGCTCCAGCAGCGTGAGCTAGTTCGCTCGTACTGAAAGCTTGCTTGTGTAGGGGTCTCTCTTATCGGTGCCAGGATAGGCTAGGCACTGCAAAGTAGCTACTCACATGCTAACCACAGGAGTGAAAAATTTAAAAAAATGGCTGTCTTAACACATTTTTATTGGCTGGGAAATGTGACAGTGTTACATCACCAAACATAGTAATTTCTTAATTAAGAAGATTCTAACAGAAAGTAGACGTTCATTTAATGGAGTACTTGAGAGCGTGACTCTGGTACTGTGCATTAACTGGAAAATTCGGGGCCAGTAATGTTCCCCTATGGGGCATGGTGGTGCCACAGTCTCTCCTCGTCTCCCCCTCCTTCCTTTGGGATTGTGGGCCTGCAGGTCCATGCACCTAGTGTGCTTCTCCAGCTGCTGCCCGCTGGCCCACAGGCTGGGCCCTGGCTGGGATGGTAGGAAGGGGACTTGGAGGCAGAATGTGAGGGTTCAGCTGCAGTGCCGTGGAGGGCAGCTGCTGAGCGACGAGGAGACAGCCACAGCCGCAGATGTGTGGTGATGGGAGGGCGCAGGGCGAGGCGCTGAGGGGCGCTGGGACCAAGGGCGCTGAGCCTTCAGGAGGAGCTGAGAGCAGGCGCAGGAAGGAGGCAGAGGGGCAGGGCGTGCTGCCTCTCTGCACAGAGGGCTTGGGTCGGCTGGGCCCAGCCCTGCAGGAGACACAAACCAGAGTGGTCAGGGCCAAGCCGAGGACGCTGAGTCCTTGGGTAGACAGGCGGCAGTTCCTGGTCCTGAGCCGGGAGCGGACGCGAGATTCCTGTCTCCTCCAGTCTCCTGTGGCTGAGCGCAGCGGATCAGTGGCAGAGCAGGGCGCCGCGCAGGCGGCAGTGGGGGTTGCACGCGCCTCTGCTAACTCCTGTCTGTGCTCAGCACTAGCCGGGCCTCTCCAGGGAGGCTTTATTTCAGCCCGGACAGCACAGAAAGTGGTTTCTGAGCCTTTTTTCTCCTTCTTCCACAAAGGCCTCTCCTCTGGGAGAGGGGAGCTGGCGGAGAGGAGCAATGGGAGCAGGAGGCTGGCGCCAGGCCAGTGCTAGCGAGCCTGGCTTTCCCGGAGCTCTGTCTCCTGGGTGTTGCAGACTCAGGGCCTGCGACTGGACGGTGCCGGCGAACACTCTTTGGAGCCAGGGTTAGCTTTAGAGCACCGTGTTGGACAGGAACAGTGGGCAACGCGGGACAGACCAGAGCGTGACACGGGATGCCTGCTTCACGCTTTACTTATAGCTGTGGGGTCTGTAAGTCATGTGTGTTTATTTTCTCTTAGGTTCATTTTCCAGACACCGAAAGAGCAGAATGGCTAAATAAGGTAAGCTTAGAATATAGCAGATACAGAGACCATGGGAATTAGCGCGAGAATGCCAGCCCTCCGTATTTGGGATCTGGGTGTAGGCCAGCTCTGAGCCATTCAGGCTGCAGTGGGCTGGCTCCTCCCCGAGGGCTCGGCTGTCACTGGGGTGTTCCTTTCCCCTCTAAAGAGCACAGTTTGTCTCTGGCCTAGGAGAACAAGGAATGCTCCTACGCAAACATTGGTCTGGCCTTGTGTCTTTCTTCCTGTTTTCAAATCTATTATATTCACAAGTGAAAATCTGGGAACATTATTATGGAGAGGGTAATAAATCCCAAAATATCTTGCAGTCAGTAGTAGTCATGTTTTTTTGAAGGTAATGTTTTTAGAGCAGTACACTTTGAACTAAATCTCTTTTACCTATTTCATACATTTTTAGGATTGTGTAGTAAGCAATAACAATCACTTCATAGCACTCAAAGTGGGTTGTTTAAAAAAATTCATGGATGTTTGTTTAGTTCTACTCAGTTGAAGATTTTCAGCTGAGTTGAAACCGTAAGATTTTTGGCAATAAATATATCGGCAGGCTCAAACATAATATGAAATCAGAATAACCAATTCCTGCAGCATATTCATTGCAGGAATCAATAGCTGTTGTAATCTTAAAATTTAGATTCGGTTGATTTTTGCATAACAAGAAGACCCCTTCTTACCCCCTTTGCTTTCCAAAACCAGATTCTGATCATTCTTCCTGGCAACTAAATATGTGATGTATTAGAACGTTCTGCTTAACGTGAGTTTCTTTTTCTTTCTAGACCGTAAAGCACATGTGGCCTTTCGTGTGCCAGTTCATAGAGAAGTTGTTCCGAGAAACCATAGCGCCAGCTGTGCGGGGGGCACACCCCCACCTGAGCACCTTCAGTTTCACCAAAGTGGACGTGGGCCACCAGGTTAGTTCCGTCCCGTCCACGCTCACTCGGTGCATGTGGGAGTGAAGGGGCTTGAAGGAGAGAACAGAATGTGTCCCATCCCATCTGCTGACAGTAAGGGGACCCGATGTTTGTTGAGTGCTAAGTTTTATGTTCATTATGTCACGTAACCTCACAGTGACATCATGAGGTAGGTACCGTTGTTATGTCCCTCTTACAGGTGAGGGGGCCGAGGGATAAGAGTTTACCTATCTTGCTGAAAGTCACATAACTAGTGTGTCGTGAAAACAGTTTTTTTAAGAATTATTTTATTTAATTTTACTTATTATTTTTAATTTGACCAGAGAGAGAGAAAGGGTGAGCAAGGGAAAATGAGAAAGCAAGCCACCAGGTCTGAGACTTGAACTGGGTTGGCCATGTGGGAGTCAGCATCGTAACCACCACCCTGCCAGCCCAGAACAGTTTTTGTTTTTAATTGCCATGAGGCAGCACATGTGCTGGCCGGAGAGGGAGGGGGAGAGCCTCCTGGTGGGGTGCAGTCATGTCCAGTCCTTCCCCTGTGTTCCCCACGCCGTCAGTGTTCGGGGCACGTCCGCACATGCGCCTGGCATGTTTTTCAAGCTACCAGGCTAGGACTCAAACCACCATTGGCTATGTGGGGTCTGGCTCCATATGCACAGCACGTAACCGCTGCGCTGCAGCGGCCCAAAGCAGAATTTTAATTCTTATCACTGATGCTGAAGCTTGTTCTCTTCATCTCTGTGCTTTATTGCATGACTTGTTTTGTTTCGTTTTGTTTTTGAAGAGATTTTTTTATTGCTATAGGGTGTGTGCGCTTGCCAGAGAGAGAGAGACAGAAAGCAAGGAATCACCCCCTGGGGGGGATGGCCACACCACAATCCCTTCTCCTCCATTCTCCTCTCGGGACCTTGGGCACGCATGCACGTGCGCCCGGTGTGAGTTTAAGCCACCGGGTCTGGGACGCAAACCGCGGACGCAAACCGCGGTCGACTACGTGGGAGTCTAGCGACATAGCCATTATGCCAACTGCGGGTCCCAGGCTGTTGCTTTTAAAAAAATCATATATATTTTAAAATAAACTACTTTTTGTTTCAGCCCCTTAGAATCAATGGTGTTAAGGTGTATACTGAAAATGTAGACAAAAGGCAAATTATTCTGGACCTTCAAATTAGGTAAGTTTTGGCTTGTGTTATTTCACAGTTTGCGATGTGTAACATCATTCCTAAGGTGGAGAATGTAATGAACGTGCTTCTTAATCCTGCTGGTTGGAGTTCGACTAAATTCTTGTTGGAGATGCGAAAGTTTTTTACCTTCTGGGTCTCAGTTTCTAATAGCCTAGCTAATTGCCGTTCATAAAACATGTTAAGTAAGTTGAAGACATTATGAGAAAAGAAAAATGAAGACCAGTGTTCCTAAGAACAGTGATGTAGAAATCCTTACCAGAATTCAGCCCCTGGGTCATCTGGTGGCATGGTGGCAAGAGGGCTGGATCCCACATGATCCCACATGGCCAACCACAGTGTAACACTGTGGGCCCAGTGGTTCAAAACACCTGGTGTGTGAGAGTAAATATCCACAGTTCCAAAAGGAGGGAGAAAGGGGAAGAGAAGGGATTTCTGTGCGACTGTGCCATGTAGGGGTACTTTCTCACCTTTCCTCTCTCTCGCTGTGTCTGTCTGGTGAGTGTCCATGCTATCTGGCAAATTAAAAAAGAAAGAAAGAAAACATCAGTAGCAGGTTAGGAGGATTATGCACCTTGACCAAGTGAGATTACCCCAGAGTTCGAGGCCACTCCTGCATGTAAGAGCTGGTCAGTGGAATGCACATTAACAGAAGGAAGGAGAAAAGTCACGCTACACTATTTTAGTTGATGCATAAAAAAGTGTTTAGCAAAATCCAGTACCCTTTTATGATAAAAAACAGAACAAAACAGAATAAAAACACTCAGCAAACCTAGGTATGAATAAGAGGAAACTACCTCAACATAATAAAAGCTGTATATGGGGCCAGTGGTATGGTGGTTAGGGCGCCAAACACTCCCACATGGCCGACCACGGTTTGATTCCTGCACCTGGTGGCTTGCTCTCTTCTTTCCTTCTCTCTGTGTGTCTTTCTCTGGTCAAATGAAAATGGATAAATAAAATGTTAAAAAAGAGAAAGATTAAAAAAAAAAAGCTGTATGTGCAAACCATGGCAAACACCGTATCAGTGGGCCGAGGTCAGGACCGAGGCAACGGCTGTTGCTTTTGCTTCTTCTCCACTGTTGCATTGGAGATTCTGGAAATCAGGCAAGAAAATACAGGCATTCACATTGGGAAGGAAGAGGTATTATCTGCTCTCAGGTGATATGATCCTATATGTAGGAAATCCTAAAGATTCCATAAAAAAATAGCTAAATAAACTGATTCAGTGAAGTAGTGGGACACACAGAAATCAATCTTTACTAATGAAGAATTCAGAAAGGAAAATAATGAAGTAATCCCATTTATAATAGGATAAAAAAAGAATAATATCTTTAGGAATACATTTAACTAAGAGGTGAAAGACTTATACTTGAAAACTCCACAATACTGCTGGACAAAAGACTCGAATAAGTGGAGAGATAGTCCATGTTCATGGACAGGGAAACTTAATACTCCTAAGATATAAGCACTCCCTAAAGGTAGCTACGGATTTCAGCAGTCCCTATGGCTGCAAAACTGGTGAAGAATTACCATCCTGAACATGTAGAGGACTCCTGAAACTCAACCACAACAAACAACCCAGTTCAAAAGTGGGCAGGGGGTTTCAATGGCCATTTCTTCAGAGCTGTATGAATGGCCAGTGAGCACATGGACGGATGCTTGGCATCATGAGCTGCTGGGGACAGGAGAAGTGGAAGCACTGTGAGACGGGCCAGGAGGTGGCGTGGGGGGTGGGCTCTGGACTCCCGCAGGACTGACTGTGGTTCGAGTCCCAGACCTGGTGCCTTGCTTTCTCACTTTCCCCCCTCTCTGTCTCTCTGATGACTATAGCAAGTTAAAAAAAGAAAAAGTAAAAAAATTTTTTATAAGTCCCAAAAACATGCTGCGTGCATGCACACACACACACACACCACACACACACACACAACCACTGAAGACAAACCACAGCGAGATGCCACGTCACAGCGATGAGGACGCCTACCACCCACAAGAGCAGACAGTGGCCCGTGCTGATGAGGGTGTGGGAAGGAAATGGGAGCCCTTCCCGTCGGGGATGTGAAGTGCAGTTGCTGTGGATGTTTGCAGTGTAGTTCCTCAAAACCGTAGACATAGAATGACATGGGCTTGACAGCCCGACTCACCTTTACAAACCCAAGGAGTGAGAAGCAGTTTTGAGCAGCTCCTCACAGTAGCTGAATGGCAGAGCACCCCAGGTATCTGTGGGTGAACGGATGAATAAGCAGAATGTGATACATGCCTTAAGAATGACATCCTGTCCCATGCTGTGACGTGGTGGGTCCTGAGGGCACGTGAGGGGGGACAGGTCAGACACAGAGGACAGCTGCTCTGTCACCGCATGCGAGGTGCCTGGGCAGTCGGGTGCAGAGTGGGAGAGGAGCACGGCAGTTGCCTGGAACTGGCTAGGGGTGTAGAGCTCATGTTTAACAGGACAGTTTCAGCTTTGCAAGAGGAACAGTCCTAGAGGGGGGCAGCGAGGACGGCTACCCACCCCACCTCACGGTTGCCTCGATACCTCAGTGCTGCACATGGATGGTTGGCTAAGATGGAACCTGTCACGTCATGCTCTGTTACATTGGAACATTAAAACAAGTGGTTGGAAACTGACATTGAGGGTCTGCCGGATACCATGCCGGTATAACAAGTGTGGGCGTCTGTGCGCTCGATCTGGAAGCTGGCCGTGGCCCCCACATCCTGTGTGAGGCCTGGCAGCACGCTGTCTGTGGCAGCTGCACAGCTGGGCGGTTTCTAGCAGCTCAGAGTTGTGTTTTTGGCATGGGTCCTCAGCGGAGGACCACTCACTCTGTCACCCCTGAGTTCCCAGAGCATGTGAAAACGGCCAACGTGCCGCTGGCACTGGTTCCCTCTCCTGCAGGAAGGAGCGTAGAGCTTCAGTCCACTGTGGGAAGTGCACGTGGACCTCTGGCAAGCACTGTTGACTTGGTGGCGTGAAAGAAGGGGCCTGGTGTGTGGGAGTCCGGCTGTCCTCCAGGAAGGTCCTCTGGGCTGACTGAGCTCTGGGAGGTGGGCCGTGTCTGGGCGCAGGGTCCCCAGCACAGGTGCACGTCTGTGCCTGCTGATGAAGTAAACGTCTGGACGGATTCCTTACTGGGCATCATTCTGAAGACACGGTCTTGGTTTTCAACAGCACATTTGCAAAGTCGCTTCTTCCTGACTTCTGCCTTGACAGTAGATGTTCTACTGGAGCATTCCAGTCAAAGGTCTGCAGTACACTGGCCATCAAGATGGGGAAGCCGTAGTTGAAAAGTGCTAGGGGATAAAGTAATCAAGTCTTCCGATGAAGAAGAGAGAGAGAGGCAGGGAAAGCCAGCCAGCAGGTCCTGGACTCGGCCCGCAGTCAGCCAGGTGGGAGTCCAGTGCCCCCAACCGTCACATCCCTGCCAGCCCGTGGTGGTTTCCTAATAGGTCAGGGTTGATTTTACCAGCACACATCCCTATTTATAATAGCTATGCTGCTGGATCTCCATGTAGTCGACCGCGGTTTGAGTCCTGGACCCGGTGACTTAAACTCATGCCGGGCGCATGTGTGTGCATGCCCAAGATCCCGAGAGGAGAATGGAGGAGAAGGGATTGCGGCATGGCCATCCCCCCGGGGACTGATTTCTCGCTTTCTGTCTCTCTGTTTCTCTCTCTTTCTGGTGAGCACACATGCCCTATAGCAAAAGCCTCTCCCCCCAAAAATAAATAAATAAATAAATAAATAATGTTAATAAAATAATTTTAAAAATAATTACTTTATTTAACTTTATTTATTTATTTTATTTGACCAAAGAAGGACAGAGAGAGAGAAAGCGAGAAAGCAAGCCACCAGGTCTGGGACTTGAACCATAGTCAGCCATGTGGGAGTCTAGCACCCTTAACCACCATGCCAACTGCAAGCCCCAAATAAAATAATTCTTAAAAAAAAAAAAAAAAAAAGAAAGACTCACCCTTCTGTTCAGGCTGTCCCTGTCTTGAGCTTAAACCTCCTCACAAATGCTTCCTGGGATATGCTCACTGACTCAAGGGGCCAGGGGTAGGGCTCGGTTGTAGGCCATCCCGGGGATGACCTTGCATGTTTTACGTCTGTACCCTGCATCACAGTGTCCTTGTGTGCTCTGTCCCACTGTGGACATCAGTCACTCAGTGGGGAACACTAAAACCCCAACAGACGCACGGTTCTGACCTTCGATGGCTTGGAGCCGTGTGGCACTGGGAGTTCTTCATAATGGAGGAGCCAATAGTGTTGCATTTACTGGAGGTGAAATGAAATCTAAATTTATTTCCATTTAAAAAAAACCAAGAAAACATAGTTTTTGTTTGCTTTTATTGCAGAGGGCATGTGCACTTGCCAGAGAGCCAACACCAAAGAGGGCCAGGGAAAGGCCCCAGTGGACGCGGTCAGCCACAGTCCCTTTCCTGCCGGAACTGTGGACACACACACACGCCTGGTGTGTTTTCAAGCTGGGATTCGAACCGTAGTCAGCTGCGTGAGATCCAGCTCCCTTTACCTTTAAGCCTTGGGGCTGGCCAAGTATAGAATTTTTAAATTTCTATTTTTTAAGTTTCTTTCTTTCTTGAGAGAGAGAATACCTCTCTCTCTCTCTCATTAAGGTTTTTGCTGTAGGGCACTTGCACGAGGTGGGGGGGTGGATTAAAATCACCCCTTGGGGGAATGGCTGTGCTGCGATCTCTTCTCCATTCTCCTCTTGGGATTTTGGGCATGCATCTACATGTGCCCGGCATGATTTTTAAGCCACCTGGCCCAGGATTCAAACCACGTGAAGTTCAGTCCCTTCACTACCACTCCACCTGCTGGCTCCCTGATGGAGGGTTTTTAAGACAAATGAAACCCACGTTCTGTCAAGCCTGGCTCCAGCAGCTGCCCTTTGTTTTTTACAGTTGCCTTTGAAAATAGGCATGTGCATTGTTAGGGTTTTTATACTAAAATAACACAAGTATGTGTGTGGTATTCCTCACAACCCTTAGTGCAGCTGACTCTAGAACAGGGCACCCGCCACCGTGGCCTCCGCAGGTCTTGCTGACAGTCTGTTTGGTTGCTGTGCTGTCGTTCTGCTCAGCTATGTACCTGACAGGGCTATGGTGATTGAGAGAATATTTTGCTCGCTTTATGTAATACAGAAATTTTCTTGCTAGTTTTGTAGGAAATTGTGAGATTGATTTGGAGATCAAACGATATTTTTGTAGAGCTGGTGTGAAAAGTATACAGGTAAGTTATTTATTTATTTATTTATTTGTTGATTGATTGATTGATTGGAGAGATTTTCACTATAGGGCGCGTGCACTTGCCAGCCAGACAGAGAAAGACAGAGAGACAGAAAGCGAGAAATCACCCCTTAGGGGGGATGGCCACACCACAATCCCTTCTCCTCTATTCTCCTCTCGGGATCTTGGGCACACACGCACACGCACCCGGTGTGAGTTTTAAGCCACCAGGTCCGGGACGTGAACCGCGGTCAACTACGTGGGAGTCCAGCGACGTAGCCATTACGCTAACTGCTGGTCCCAAGTTATTTATTTATTTTAATTCCATGGTTCTCTAACGTCTAAGTTATATTCAGAAAGAAAATCAATGCATTTTTACTTGCTCAGAATTGTATTTTTTTAAAGATCTATTTTATTTAACTTTATTTTCCTTATTTTTATTCATTTATCTTAATTTGACCAGAGAGTGACAGAGAGAGAGAGAGAGAGAGAGACAGAGAGACAGAGAGAAAGTGAGAAGGCATGAAGGCAAGAAGACACCAGGTCTGGGACTCGAACTGTGGTTGACCATGTGGGAGTCCAGTGCTCTTAACCAAGATGACACCTGCTGGCCACCAGAACTGTTTTGAGCTGAGCTTTACTCATAGGTCGTAGCTGACAGACAGAGTGCGTGCTCAGCAGTCCCTGGGGCCTGTGGTGTCTCCACCTTGGGTGGCTGCGGAGCTGGTTTCTGTTGCTCACCTTGGTTTCCTGTTTGGGTTTAGGTTCATGGCGCCATGCGGGTGATCCTGGAGCCTCTGATTGGAGACGTGCCCTTGGTCGGAGCTTTGTCTCTGTTCTTCCTGAGGAAGCCAGTAAGTCTGTGCTTTTTCCACTTGCTGTTACAGTGACTGGCAGAAGTGTGTGCGGAGAAGGGTGCGTGCAGTGGAGAGACACAATTCTATCCGTACCTCACTTTCTTGCTTTTTGATGAGTGGAAACTATGAATTCTTCATATGCCTTTATACCTTACTTGAGGGTTCCTCTCCTGTTAGCAGTGTTCTTTCCTGATTATAGACGTAATGATTTTGGGTCAGCAGGTGGCATGGAGGTTAAGGCTGCTGGGTCCTACTTGGCCTACTGCACAGTTCAAGTCTTGGACCCACCAGCTTGAAAATCACACTGAACGCATGCGTGTGTGTACATGTGTACCCCAAAATCCCAAGAGGTGAGTGGAGGAGAAGGGATTATGGCATGACCACCCCCAGGGGTTATCCCTCCGTCTCTCTCAGGTGAGCATAAACGACTTGCAGCAGAACTAGACAGCAAAGCCATGGTTTGTTGTAGATAGCTTGCAAGTGTCGACTTCTAGAAGAATGTGAGTTGTAGCTCTTTTTTACTCCAGCTCTCTCACTACGGCCGGTGGGTGCTACTCACTTGGTCTCTGTCACTCTGTATTAACACCCCCTTCTGCCGACTGAGAATGGAGATGCCTGTGTTCAGGTCACACAGCTTGTAGGCTCTGGGACCTGTGGTTCAGACCTGTGCCTCAGGACACAGGCTGTCTTTGGCCATGACCGTCCTTGTCTGGACGCTCTCCTTCTTGTGTGGGGCATGTCTGCCGGATCATACCTCTAAGCTTGCTTTCCTTTGTGTGTGTGTGGAGGGAGCTGGACTCCCACGTAGCCAGCCATGGTTCACATCCTGGACCCGGTGGCTTAAACTCACACTGGGTGCATGTGCATGCATGCCCAAGATCCCGAGAGGAGAATGGAGGAGAACGGATTGCAGCATGGCCATCCCCCCTGGGGGGTGATTTCTCACTTTCTGTCTCTCTCTGTCTTTCTGGAGAGCGCACGCGCCCTATAGCAAAAAATAAATAAATAAATAAATAATTTATTTATTTTATTTTGACTAGAGAAGGACACACAGCGAGCGAGGGGGAAAGTGAGAAAGCAAACTTCTCAACTTGAACTGACGTCGGCCATGTGGGAGTCCAGTGCCCTTAACCACTACGCCACCTGCTGGTCCCACCTGTATTGCTTTTAAATTCATAGAGACTTTTTGTTTGATTTGCTGATGTCTGGATAGACTATGATAACATCGTTATTTCACATTGTCGGATGTGTGTGTTCTACTTTGTTAAGATTAGTCGACACTTATTGCTCATTATTAGCCACAAAGACAAGACAAGAAAGCTATTATTCCTGCCAAACAAACTCACCCTTCCTTCCCCAGCTGCTCCTTAGCCGGTTCCTGCAGGGCCCGTTGGCATTTCCCTTCTGTCTTTCTGGTCGGGGCGACTTCCTCCCCGAGGCGGACTGACCCACTCAGACTTGTTCCCTGCAGAGAAGGGGCGTTGCTGTCCAGCCTCATCTCCTCCCCTGCCTGTGAGCATCCCAGGGTCCACCCAGAGGAACGAGTCTCACTCTAGGCACAGCCGTGTGTCCACATGTGCTGCCCCTGTCTGAGATACTGGGCCCTGGCATTGCCAGGGCACGCTACCGCTTAGTGCCGCCGTGACTTCCGACGACTGACTCTCTCCTGTCTTCTGTGATGGGCCTCAGGGAGGTGCTGCTAGCATGACGTGTAACTTGAAAGGGAATAAAAACAGTAAATAGTACAGGGTAGTGAAAAGCCAGATACAGCCCGGCCTCCCACTCCCGCGACTCACCCTGCGTGCTGAACACCCGCGATCGTCCCCGCCCTCAGCTTCCCTGTCATGGGGGACAGTCGATGATGCCTGCCACGCCAAGAACGCCTGTCCCTGAACACAGGAAGCCCTTTGTGTCGTGTCTGGCACAAAGTAGGTCTTTCTCCCCCGTTAAATATGTATTTATTTACTTACTTTATTAGTATTCTTCAGTTTGACCAGAGGTTGACAGAATGAGAGAGCGAGAAGGAGAAAGCAAGCTGCCAGGTCCACTTTTTAAAAATCTGTATAATTTGATTCACATACCTTATCAGCATTTATTGGTACATGGATTGGTTTTCAAAATAGATTTATTTAGACCAAACCATGTTGGCTACAGGAGGTATTTTTTTCTGTATGAAGTGTGGTCACTTTCCACTACCCCTGAAATTACCACTCTCAGTTGTTTATTACCGCTTCAGTAACTGGGTTCTTTGTGGTGGTGGTGGTGGTGGTCATAAGCTTGCTGTATTGAAGAAAGACAGAGAAAGTGAGAAAGCACCCCCAGGGTGGGGAGGGCGTCCCTGCAACCCCTCCTCTCCCTCCTCTCCCGGTTTCCAGCACACGCCCCTCTACCCAGCCTGTTTTTCTTTTAAGGTTTTTGCACAGGTCATGCATGTGCTCCCTGGAGAGGGACAGCGAGAGGGAAAGTAAGAGGTCTCCCTCGGGGGTGGCCATGCTGAAGTCCCTTGTCCACTCTCCTCCTGGGGTTTGGCCATGCACACACACACCAGAAGCTGCCTGTCTGAGACTCGGACTGTGTGGTCGCCGTGTGGGATTTACCTGCTTTGGCGCCCCGGCTGGCCAATGAGGGCCCCTTGACACGTTAGAAGTGCACAGGGTTATGATGAGACTCAGAGGCAGTGGGAACCTTGTGTTCAATCTGACTTTATTGAAATAGTGGAAAATGGAGCTGACAGGTGGCGTGGTGGTTAAAGTGCTGAACTCCATGGCTGACCATGGTTCAAGTCCCGGACCTAGAGGCTTGCCTTCCTACTTTACCTTTCTCTCTCTCTCTTTCTGGTCAAAGTTAAATAATAATGATGATAAATAAAATTTTTTTTTTTGAGATGTCTTTGTTATAGGGCATGGGCATTCACCAGAAAGAGAGAGACAGACATAAAGCGGGGACTGCCACACCGCAGTTCCTTCTCCTCCATTCTCCTCTCGGGATTTTGGGCATGCACGCCTGCACACGTACCTGGTGTGAGTTTAAGCCACTGGGTCTGGGACTCGAACCGCGGTCGGCTACCTGGGAGTCCAGCGACATAGCCATTATGCCAACTGCTGGTCCCAATGAAATAATTCTTTTAAAAAAACCCTGGGAAATGAAGAGACCCATAATAAATTAAGATTCATCATTTTTTTTTTTTTAACATAGTATCTTTGAGAAACTGACCTTACTAGTGAGTATAAAAAAATTAATCCTACACAAATTGCTTTGTATTTTATTTACCTATCTTTAGCCACGGTCTTTTTCAACAATTTAAAGAAAGTTTATTTTGTAATTTTCAGTTCAGAATGTAACAAAATCCAAACCTTTCCATTTCTCTCAGAACCCAGCGGTAGTGGCGTCATGTGGGGCACAGTGGTAGAGACTTGGGGCTCACCAAGGCGGCCCCACAGGGCAGGCCCAAGGTCAGAGCTCAGGGACTTGGCGAGTGCACCGGGCACATGCCTGCCTGGGCTCAAGGCTGGGGTGGGTGATGGTCTCGCGACTGCTGGGTACTGTCTCCGTCTCTCTCATTCACGGAAGAAATAAATGTGAAAGCCTCCGGTGACCCCCTACTGAGGTCGGGCCTCCCCCAAGAGTGAGTGTCATAGTCACGTCCTCACTTTGCCTAGGGAGGTGGAGGGCTCCGAGCAGAAGGGTGGGGCCAGAAGTGAGAATCTGTCCTTTCCTTATGGTGAGTGAAGTCACCACACAGACTCCAGAGAGAAGGGAGTTTTTCGGTTGTCTCTAACCAGGAAATACGAGAACAGAGTCTGCTCTGAGCTGCCACGGAGTCCTCATACCCTGGCGAGAACACGGCTAGAAGGGTCCGTCACGCTGGCTTTCACTTCTGTCCCTAGGGTTTGGACGTGTGGTGCCCGAGACCCTGTGACCACAATACAGCTGTCTGCTTGTTGATCTGTTTGCATTAATGTTGATAAGGGGATACATTTTGGGGAAAACCACAAACAAATCTACAAATTCCCCAAAATCTACAAAGTAACTGACTGCTGGGTCCTGGGCAGAAACGGTGCAGTGGGGCGGCTCGGGGCCAGAGCAGCCTGGCTGTCCACTCCCGCGTCTCGGCCTACTCTGTGCGCTGAGCGACCGAGTGCTCCCCTCTGCACCCCAGCTTCCCTGTAACGGCGCGATGCTGACGTCTCTCATACAGCGTCAATGCAGAGAGCGACTGCGAGTGGTGTCCGGCACAGAGGGAGTCTTCTTAAAAAATTTTAATAAGTATTTTTTTATTTTATTTATTATCCTCCTTAAGTTTGACCAAAGAAGACAGAACGAGAGAAGGAGAATATGAAAGCAAGCTGCCAAGTCTGGGGCTTGAACCATGGTCGGCCTTGTTGGAGTCCAGTGCCTTTACCACGCCACCTGCTGGCCCCTATAGTAAATCTTCAGGTTTTAAGAAAGGAAATATTTGTCTCCATGTAGATTCAGCATTGTTTGACATCCAGCCCTGCAGGTGGATGGTCGACAGAGAGAAAAACTGAGACCGTGTTCTGGTGAGAACCAGGACTCAGCTTCGGCTGTACCCCAGGGCACCGCTTGGCCTGTACGCGTTGGGCAGCCCAGAGTCCTCAGGTTATCTTAGGTCTGTCTCCGGAGTACAGATTAGACACGAAGTGGTCCAGGTCTCAGAACCTCTGGAGGTGGCTCTTGGCCTGCTCTGATGTGCTGTCCTTGGGGAGGCCTCCCTGACAGCCAGGGAGGTGCTGAGCCCTGGTGTCTCCATCTCTTCTTCTGTGAGACGGAAATGGTGCCTGCCTTTTAGAGCTATGATGAGAAGAAACAGTCCTGTTAGCCTGGACTCTAGAAATGGGTGTGCCTTTTTGTCCCCCGAAGCTCACACATACGGTCCCCATGATGACACTTGGACTGTACTGTGGGTGACGTGGGAAGGGTTCAGCA